TATGCAAACCCGAGACGTAGTCGAGGGTTTGCATAACTTTGGAGAATTCTCCCAACCCCCCGAGTGTTTAGATGAGGCTATGTAAACATGGAAAAGGTGCTCTATTGCTTTTATAAAATAATTCTCAAAAATACGCGCGAATCTAAAACGTCACAACCGTGTTTACACACTCTCATCTAAACACACCTATCGACCAACGAGAGCGCGCGTAGTAGCTCAGTTATTTTATAAAAGAGTACAGACTACGCTAAATCACATTTCGATTTGTTTTTTAGCACAATGTCAGCTTCAAAGAAGAATTTTTTTTCAGAGCGCGAGCTGAAAAAGGTATGCGTGACACACTGACGCGAGCAGCGTTGTCTCGACTCTTATCGACAACGGCAAATTACCCAATCATGGTCAGATTGCGAGATTAGTAGCAATTGTGGGAAAAAAGTTAATTGAATGGTAAAACCGCTGTGCATAAAGCATGACTGAGGACTCTTATCACTCTTATATAGTTCCTGAATGCGCATAGAGCGCTTTTCAATTGAGTGTCGTAACACCAAAACCAAAGTAATCACTCTAGCCAATCATAAAGGACACAGACAATCCAATAAACCAATTAAAATTCGAAGTAATTACATGTAGCTGACGCGAAGCGCGGGAAAATCTGTGCGAACGCGTCACAATTGGATTTGGTTGTACATCTGATTAGATCAAAACGTGGCGCGAGTTTTTTTAAGCCAATCGTGTAGCTTAGAAAATGGAAAGCCAGTTATTTTCGACACTCAAGCGAAAACCGCTCTAGAAAAACATTATTTATCTAATTCCTATTTCTAAATATTTTCTTTCACGCAGTTAAAGACTTTTTTGGCTCTAAAAACTCTAAAAATCCTTGAACTTGCTCAATTATTCTATGAATCTCCAGACTTTCTAAAAATAATTTCAGCGTCTAAAAATCTCAAAAAAAAAAAAACCCAAAAAAAACCCCGGATTTTTGTAGCTAGGCCTATGTTAGACAGACCCTTCGTGATCAGGTGATCGATAAAGATGGAATTTGTTCCTACTTCCAAGGATTGAAAAAAAAAAAAAAAAAAGAAAAGAAAAGAAATGAGAGGGGAAAAAAGGTCTCTCAGACTAGTCACCACTCTCTACTATACTGTCTTTTGCAGAAAAGAAATGTTTTACTAGCGGGCCTGCGGTCCAGCCGAACATGTCATAAAAATATATAGTGTGACGGACTATAAGCAATCTAGAGCTGACTGTGAGGCAAGCTATGCCTAGCTAACTGTCCTTGGGGTTTCTGTGGATGGTTTATTTTAGGACCTGAAGTCAGCCGGGAGCATTTTAATCCGTTTGTGTCTTTGTGAGATGAACCAAGTAGTTTGTTTTTTTCAGTTTACTGTTTTCTATATTTTCCATTTTGGCTCATATTTTTTCCTACCCTGAGGAAGTCATCGTTCGTTACCGTTCGAGCTTGACGAGACAAGTGACTCTCGAGTGATGATGGACAATGGAATACGCGGAAACGCGGAAGCCGGAAATGTAACACCAGCAACTCCATGCGCAATTCAATCGCAAGTCCAGATATTTTCGGACTTCCAATCAGAACTTTCCCAGTCCTCGAGCCCAGAGTCTCTCCGGCTAGGTCAAGGTTGGGTTGCTGGGTTGAATTGCGATCTCGAACCCTTGGAGCTGTTGTTAGAATATTATAAAAATCAAACTGATATCTAATTTAATTTCTGGTCAGAACCTTTACCGATACTTCCAGCCAAGAGAAATTCAATTTTTGCTAGTTTTAGGCCCGGTCCACCCTACGCCGAAAAAAATTGAAAGCGGAGTTTTCACTCTGAAACACATCAAATGTTTTCCGTCCACACTACGCCGGAGAGACTCGAAAACGGACCAATCACCGGTCATTTTGGATTTGTGGTAAACTCGGTCAGGGAAATCACCTGATTATTGTCACGTCATCGTTTTCGAAAAGCTCCGTTTTCGTGACAGATTAGTGTGGACGTTAGGCCTAAACGTAGACATAAAGTTGCGTTTTCAAATTTCTCTGGTGTAGCTGCGGACGGGGCCTTCTAGGTGTAACCAATCTCTCTTGAGTATAACTGGCTGGCCTGGACACAGCCGTAACAACGAAATCATCATATAAACAGTACCTTTTGCCGTTTGATATTGTTCTAGCAATTGTTGATATGGTTATTCTGTAATGTCTCCCATTGACAGAGGGGACAAGAAGCCCTGTTCTCTCAAATCGACCGGGACGAAGCACTAGAATTACTTTTCTGTCGCAATAAAGTGGCGATGTGCCGCTAACGCTTATCCTCGGCGAAAATTTAAATGTCCTCGAATAATTCATGCCGTCGGTAATTAAGATATGTAACCTGATATAACAGTTTGTCAGAACACAGTTTATGGATCATGACATTCGGTATACTTTATATGTTATTGTTTGTTCAGTCGGTCGGCTTACCTGTCAACTCTCGAGAATTAGCTCGATCATTTTTAATGAAAAAAAAAAAAGAGAACGCATAAAAAAATCTTGCTTTTAAATGGCATGGGTTGTTCAGATTCAGATTTGTGACCATATGTTCCGATATTTATTCTGTCCGAAAGTTTTAAGCATCTAACTTTGGTTCCGGTTACCAGAATTTTTTTATAGCAGTTCCTCAAACTTAAAGCTATTTTTCATTACCTACCCGCAGTAGATAAACTTACTCGTATTCGAATATCACATTTAGCATTTTATTCTTCGTAAGTATTCACTCCCTGGGGGACCTATAATTATTACCATTTATTGCAGTTCAGAGGCTTTAATCATCGACTAAATCTCTTATTTTGAAAACAAACTCTGCCTTTCAACGAATACGATGTAAATAGATACAGAAACAATCAAGAAAACTAAAGTCGATAGTATGACGGGTTCATATCGCATCAAAAACTTTTGCCATCTTGTTTGCGAACCTTGTGGATTAACTTTTCTCTCAAGTGACTCCGGTCGAGCGAACACGGATATTTTACGCCTGGGTTTGTCGCCGATCCCTCTTACATTACAACAACCTTGTCGATCTGATACTTTTGCTGTCGTTTCATTATTTCGGGATGTCTCGCACTTAATGTCCACGGAGGAATAAATTTCACCGTCATTTACTCCTCGAGATACCTTTCTCGCTAACGAGGTAGTGATATTTTCCTCTCTTGATATTTTTCTCCCAGAACTAATTTTTCTTGATCTTGTATTAACATTGTCTTCTTCCCTCGATGTCTTTCTTCCATAACGGGTCGATAGCCCGATTCTTCTTGCCGTGGTAGCCATTCTTTTCAATCCAAGCAACAGAGTCACACGGCACGAGACGTCATACAGAGATCCAAGTTTTTCTCCCTAATTATACATAACCTTTCCAGAAGTGATTGCTTCAAAATGAAGTAAAGATTTTCCCTAGTCTGATCCGATTTTTCTTATACCAAATATAGCGCCAACTTCACGTTATAAGCGGCATTTTGTGTCCGGCGATCCTTCAAGGCGACACATCGCTTGTTTTGCTTGACACCTAGAAACAAAGCGACAAACTATATTTCAACTGCTAAAGAGCCAGTCGTAGCGCTGCATAAAGAGCCAGGGTCTTAGGATATTGGAATAATACGAGCGAAAGGTTACTGATGATAACCAGAAAACGCAAATACATGCAGACAGGTGCATGTATCTCATTCATGACATTATCATGCTGATTAGCATATCTTGAACAATGCTGACAAAAAAGCCTCCAAATTGAGTAGTTTTCTTTGCTAAGCACTTCAGATACAAAATGTAAAGTTGGCACGCAAGAACGGGTTTGTGAATGCCCAACAAAACAGCAACGAAAACTCCAAAATACGCTTCTTAAAATTATTGTTACAACCTAAATTAAAATTTCTCTTCTATCAACACTCACCGTTGAGACTGAGCTTAATTTAAAAGTATGTCTTTTGCCGGCACGGTACATAGTGGAGACAAACCTTTGCAGTATACAGAAAGACTAAATCTGACTAAATTCCCAGTGTTGCCAGTGGCATCGATATATTTTGGTAAGGAATAAGAAATCAGTATATTTTTTGCGAACAATATTTACACAAAGCGACTTCAAGTTGGTTCAGAGATGAAAACCACAGTGAAATACAGCTTTTTCAAAACGTTGTAAATTAAAACACGGACGTTATTTGAAAAAACGGTCGTTACAATATGATAGTTAAATAACACCAACTGTGACTGGATGGTTAAGTGCTATGCATGAGATTATGTAAATAGAGTTAGAACTAAACCTAAGCTTTGGGAAAATCCTTACTGCGAAAAGAATTAATATATTAGAGTTCACTCAAGTTAACGCTTGCTCGATTGCAAGCTATTTAGTGTTATTCTATTTTACACGACTGCGTGTCCATTTTACGGAGTATAAAAGAAATGTTGAGCGTTCTTTAGGTATTTGTACAGAGTTATGGAAACATTGATGAAAGTTTCAGGGAACTTAAAATAGCTAGCCCTTGCTCTTTTCCCGGCATTGTCAATCGGACGTTCGGAAATCGAACTTAATCGGACCCAATCCACGGATTGGGTTCGATTGAAATACACTTCTATTGGGTTTGATTGACTATGCCGTGTCTTTTGAGATCACATGTAGCATCTATTCATGTCAAACATCAAATATTGATAACTCTATGGAAACATGAAAAAAAAAAAAAAAAAAATAGTCCAGTGACGGCTTATATTGTCAGAGATAGTCTCGATGCAGAGGCAACATTTAATTTTGTCTTTGTTGACCATCATATTATCTTCAGTATACATACATTTTAAATCTAAATGAACTGAGAAAGGAAAAACTCTAGTGGTGAGCTATATCATTTTTACCGGCTCGAAAAAGGAGACAAAACTGTTGAGGAAACCTGGATCATGGAGGAGCCAGCCTATCAAATCATGTGACATTCTCGTCCCCAGGACCACCTGCCCCTCTCAGCCGAGGAGGCCTTGGCGCGAGAAAAAAGTGCCTTTAGAGACACATGATTTAATTAGCTAGATTGTTGGACCAATGAAGAACACAAGACTAAATCCGTTCGAGCACATTAGCTATAAACAAGGATAATTTTTAGTAAAACATGTTCGTGGTAAGTGAATCAGTGTCACTTCCGGTCAGATTTTCTTCTCTATATACTTATATTTAAGAGGTCACTTAAGTCGGTTGTTCTACCCATAACCGGCGTCACGTCAGCAAATTCAGTTCAGACATATAGTTTTACTTTACTATCCTTCCATTACCAGGTAATTCCGTGACATTCTCTCACTGAAATGCTTGTCACACGTTCAGTTTTCATGTCTAACTTCTGACGTCACCAAATGATATTTAATAAGTATTCATTTCAGTTTCCAGCTCATTCCTTCCTCGCTCTGAAGAGACGATGTGCGATACCTTTAAAAGAGAATTTCGTTGTAGAAATTTGTGGACTGATGCTTCAAATGTAGCTGACTTTACTTCGTCTACGGTGAGTCAATATAAAGTACATTTAATGGCTGGTGATTATAAATAGTTTAAACCCCTGGATGAAGCTTTATTCCCTGAGTCAGAATTCGAAGCCAGTTGAAACCAAAACATCAGGGATGCGCGCTCACACTGAATAAGACAGTTATTTCCCCATAATTTAACAGGTTGGTAAAAATTTCCATAAAAGTTTACATACAACTTGACAACTTAGCATGAAAACAGATTCGACACTCCTAACTGCCAGCAGTCACAGTAGCTTTGAACATCAATTATCAACATGGTCTTGACTTCATTGTGTTTACCTACTTTTAGTTTCGAACTGAACCCATGTAATCCCATTCGCGAGGAACTTCCGCTACTGAAGTGCCTTTAATAGCCAAATGACGCACGTGATCGTTGTTTCTCAGCATTAGTGATAATTCTTCGTAAGGAGATGTAGAACTACGATTTGTGTTATATTCGAGAGGGTCACCGGGTCATGGTGATTCAGTTCTAAATGACAGCGAGTTAGATCCGCTGGGGGAGGAGAAAAGGTGAGTCCCCGTTCTAGAAAGCTTGCAACTACATGTAGTCCCTGAACTCTTCTTTCCTCGCTTTATAAAGGTTGTAACTAGGCGGACGAAAAGAGAGTGCAATCGCTACCCCAACTCCCTCTCCTAAACCGGGGAAACCATGTATGACACCACAGCCAGCCCAAGCTTTCTCTATGAACCACACGAGCAACACAATATGGCATCGAATTATAACGGTTTATATGGGATTTTCTACAAGATATCCATGGAGGTAGTTAAAGTGAAAATTCTCAATAAAAATGGCTAACCTTATTCCATACGTATGTTGCTTGCTCCTGGTGTGGTTATTTTACCGATTGAACTTGATTTAAGCGACTTTTTTGAATTCCGGTTTCCCCTTTATAAAGAGAGAATTTTCACTTTTAACCACCTCCATGGATATCTCGTAGAAAATCCCATATAAACCCTTATAATTCGATGCCATATTGTGTTGCTCGTGTGGTTCATAGAGAGAGCTTGGGCTGCCTGTGATGATACTCAATGTTTTGAAGCCCGCGCGCCCAGTGGCCAACCAGACCAACTTAAAAAAGGTTAACCTAGAAGCCCATATCTGCTACGAACCACCGGCCAAAACAGCATCTCATTAGTAACCATCTCCATTCTCTCCAGTTCGTGTAATTCATGAAGGAAAAAAAACTCTTTTTTTGCCCTTACCTACTCAATAGAGTTCAAATCAGTCTCTCAAATGACGAATAGTACACGCGTGAACTACGCAATCTATAGTATAGACAGTATATCTACTTGTTATTGGTTAGTCTTTTTAGGTTAGGGTTAATTTTTCAAGATTGTTTCGGAGTTTCCCAGCGTTCCTGTTTTAGTACACGTTCATCAAAATCAGCGTGACAATGTGTCTTGCTAGCTAAATCTTTTGAACTCGTCATTTGAACAAGCAACACTCGCGCGTCAACACAACATTCTGATTGGCTCGCTTTGAGCTTTTACTCGCACGTTATCCTGCATGGACTCTCACCTGTGTTCAGCCCATACACACGAGCGGGGAACGCGGAGAGTTTAGGGACTAGGGTAATTTGCAGCCAGAATTACTTTTTTTGCCGTGAATAGGAGCTGGTCGTTGAAAACATAAGTGCGCTTGTGACTGGAAATTCTACATTTCATTGACCACCATATGACGTCGCGTCTTCATGAGGATAACAATATTATAAAGCCATTAACGACTGGGCCACACTACCAAGTGCTTTAAAGAAACTGATGCCGAAAACTATTTTTAAATACAAACTGAAACAGTTTTTATTAAAACATTTTTAACCTTAGTTAGTAGTATTTTAATTCTTGTTTTAGTTTTTAATCTTAGTTAGCTTACCGCATAGGTTTGTCCTTTTTATTGTATTTTAGATTTTAATGTATTTTAAAGGTTTAACATTTATTTTCTCAGAGGACCCTTCTGAAAACCACCTTATGGTGATTGGAGGCCTCCTCTTAAAATATTATTTAGAGGAAATCTAGGACCGAAGTAAGGGAGGAATTGGTTTTTGTTTGCTGTAAAAATTTAACTTGGCTGAACAAACCTCAACTTTGGGTTTAGCTGCTGTTAAAAGTAACACGTTCAGCTCAGTCAAAACATCTGCTGACGGTCTGTCGCTGCCCACATCAGCAATTAGGGTTTGTTCAACTGTGCTCAATCATTTTTCCATTTCTGACTAAACTCGTATCGACCCCTCGAAAGAAGCGATAAATGATATGGTTGTTAGCCATTTTCGAACAAAATCCAAAAGTAGCAACTTAACAAGCTGACCCAAAACTCATGTAAGACCCTTGAGATTTTGAAAACTTGCCAAAGTTACTTTTTGTTCACTTTAAGTGTTTGCCGACGTGTGACTATGTTCTTTTCTCTCAGTGGTTATCTGACGGCGCCTTCACAATTTACCGAGTGATCCTGGCACTTTACACTACTGCTTACACAGTGGTCGGCGTGATTAAAAGACAAGAACAAGGCGTGAAATGGCTTATCTTCCTCACTAACTGGAGCTACACGTTTGTCAATTTGCACTTTATTGTCAGTGCAGTTATCGTTACACACTATTACTACAACAATAGAAGCAGTATCAAAACAAGCGAAGAAGAAGAAGAAGAAGAAGAAGAAGAAGAAGAAGAGGAAGAAGATAACGTGAGAATTCGTCCCTATGTCATGATCAATTCTCGTCCTCCATTAGCCTGCAAAACCTCGTGGGTAATCTACGATATTGCCGCCAACATCGCTTTTCCAGTGACCGTGATGTACTGGACCCAAGTGTATGTGCCTGGTCATGCCTATGACAGCGTAACCTTCAATGCGCATGCTTTAAACTCGGTAGTTATTGTCCTCGATACCATGATTAGCTGTATCCGGGTCAAACTGTTGCACATTATTTACCCAATCATATTCATTTCCGTTTACATGATATTCTCGTTGATCTACTGGGCTTGTGGAGGGACGGATCCGTATGACCATCCTTACATCTACTCCGCTCTTGATTACGGCGGTCATCCAATTAGAGCCGCGGTAACTATCTGCTTATTTTTTTGTGTTGGTAATGTGCTGTCACAGTTGCTTCTTTTTGGATTGTATCAATTACGCTTGTGGTTGAAACAGTTTTGTCGCTGTACGACGTTAACGGCCATCTAGGAGAAAGAACAATCTTTGGCTTCAATCTTTACAAGTCTCGTTCCCAGACTTCGCGCGTTTTTGGTCAATGGTGACAAAACCGTTCAAAGAACCGTTGGACATACGTGCGTAGGAAAAGATAGTGCTGCCAATTTGTACAATCTATTACAACTTTCAATGCATAAACATTACAAAATAGATTCTATGCCACATAATTGGCAAGAACTTGATTAGGGCTTGCCACAAGTTGCTCGAGATTTCCCAAAAAGTTGCCCGAAATTTCTCAAAAACTTGCTCAAAAGTTGCTCCAAAAAAAGTAAAAGTTACTTTTTGTAACGAAAGTTGCTCAAAAGTTGCTAAAAAAAGCAAAAACTCTTTTTGTTTTTCTCTTCTTTTATTTGGTCTGATGCAAAATTATGTTATCTGTACAACAAAAGTAACATTTGTAAGCATTTTTGTGCAATTTTGCGTTGTAACCAGCGTCACTAAATAAATTTTTTCACAATACGTATGAGTAAATACTACGCATCAATATCAATATAAGAATATTGATCTTGTAAAAATTCTATTACGAGCCAATAAAATTGTCGGAGGATCTGAATGACCTTCGTCATCTGAAACACTCGAATCAGTGGAGTGTGAATCTTCGTCCGCCATTTTGCATTTTCTTTGACCTAGTAGCCCGGCTGCATGCATCTTTCGCCCTTGATCTGCCCCAAGGAGGAGGAACTGCTCCTTTTTCACAGGACATTCACAAATTGTCTCCTGAAACATTGTAAAATATGGAAGCATGGTCAATTAAAAGCTGCTCCGATATCTAGAAAACTAGAAATTGCTCAGAATGCAAAAACTTGCTCGAAACAAAAAAAAGTTGCTCGAAATACGAAACGTTGACAAAAAGTTGCCGAGCAACTTGTGGCAAGCCCTAAACTTGATCTCTTCAAAACAGGAATAGCACGGCTCAATTGTATGAGGAAGACTTCAGAACATCGTAGACGACAATGTAGAATTCATTTGATTTAAGACACAAAAGCGTGCTATCGGTAAAGAGCCTTTTGTGTATATTTCTTATATTTTAGTTCTTTTTCTCTTTTCTAATCTTTAATCCAGAGAACATGTCGAGACTAATCCTGGCGTAATGTAGAGCGCCCGTCACGCAATCCTAGACGAGACATGCGCAAAATTCTGTGTGAAAGACTAATAGACTACTAATGACTGGTGATGTAGAAGTTATATTTCTTTTCTGGCCTTGACCCATTTTTCTGCTTAACGAAAAGAAAATCTTCCAGTTTCCAGTTTCTTCTAGTTAAATTATCCACAAAGCAGTATACACCCTCAAGAGAAGGGGTTGGGATGAGGCGGGGAGGTGGGGG